GTAATTAAAAATGGAAAGTGAAATCCCGTCCGAAAGTGATTGCGTACTTGTGCGTCTCTACGACTGCCACTGCTCTAAGCTGTGAAACAACTTTGATAAAACTAGTGGTGCCAAAGCAACTCATTTTTCGAACATTAGCACTTGTCGACATCGCTGTCCCAATTCCTTAACTACGCACGGAGGTTAACCAAAGTCGAGACTTCACGAGTTCCTGGTTGGGTGATGTCTAGGAATTCCGGGCTCCAACGGCTCCGCGCCCCTGGCCAAAGGAATAAAAGGCACTGACAGACTGCGGCCTGACGAGACTTGATAAAAATAATAACATTAATCATGACAGGCTCTCAACGCCCAATAAGAGTTCAGAGACACGTTGCGTCGACCAAGACACTTTTTTTTTAATTCAAAAAGTTGAACGAAAATAACACTTGCACCATTTTAAGCATTCTTTACTATATCTTAGAAGAAAAAAATTAAGAAAAAATTGGGGTTTTTGATAATTACTTTTTTATAAATTGCAGTAACTTCAATCAGAAATTACATGAAAACTAACCGTTTGTTAAAAAAAATTATATGGACTTTAAGATCTAATTTTTAGAACTGATTTGAGACGAAAATCTCTCTCAACAACATTGTACTTTGCAGAGTTAATTTATTGCAATTTTCGAAAATACATAGTTTGATTTTGCAATATGCACCGGTTCCCGCACTATTTTTTACCTCTCTTTGCTACGTACCCTCGTACGGAGTAATAGTTTGTTTGTTTTTTTGAGATAATTGTTTAGAAATTGCTTATATTTTACGCAAAATTACATGAAAGTTATACACATTTTCCGAAAAAACATATTTGGCCATATTTCAAGACCTCTTTTTTCAACAAATTTTTTTAAGAAAAAATCTTGTCTTCAATATTGTAGTTGTAGTAAGTAGCCGAAAAAAATGTCGAACTTCGTCAGTTGTCGAAAAATCAATAACTTTAACAAAAATGAGATCTACCCCGTTTTTTAGGGTTCGCGAACCAAGAACAATGTTTCATTAAAAAATGGAACAATTTTTTATATTTTGAAAATGTAGATGAGTTTTCATGTAAAGTAGTACCGCAAATACTTGACATATCCATTGAATGAAGGATTGACAAATCCTTTACATGCAAATTATCACCTCGTTACAGGTCCTTGAAACGGATTTATGACGCATTTTTGGTTGATTACCGTTGAAAACTGTCACTTTGTACCCCTTTCAAAATGTTTCTCAACGCTTATCGCTCTCCGTGCAACATGGAGACCAACGTCTAGTCTGGCTTTTCCAAGGTTATATATATATATATATATATATATATATATATATATATATATATATATATATATATATTATAACCTCCTTGGGTTTTTCAAACGAAGTACCCGTGCTGTGGCTGGTGGCACAAATTGGTGATGCACGGAAGGCGCAAAAATCGCTACGCCGGAGGAACTCGCACATGTATTTCCATGTTAAGACCCCCCCCCATACTTTCCGTGAAAGCAGCAACGCTGTGCAACGTATGGTCGCGGCAAAAATAGAGCTCATTACTTTCGGGACAAACTTTGTAAGTTAGATAAACATTTCTTTGGGTAATTTTAATTTTCTGTGACTCGTATTTAATGGATTTTTGAATGCAACAGTCCACCACCCAGGTGACGCAGCGCCCTCCTTGCTAACGCGTGCTCGAGGCGTTACACACGAATCGCAAAAAATTACTAAAAAAAGCTCATCTAACATATGGCAATATCTATATCATTGGATTCTTTATACGCTCGTCATGATAGGCAAAAATACGTAGTTTCATTTCAAAAAATGTTACCCCAATATCTCGTAAAATACAACTGATACAATGGAAATGAAATATGCCATGTATGAACTAGCCCCATTCCCTCATACACTTCTGTGAAAACTGCCTTGCAATAACTTCAAACGTTTAAAAATTGCAGGTGCTAGTTACATGACTCACCCCGTGTATTATAAATTTTGTTTCGTTTCATTGAAGTTTTAAATACGTATTCTATGTTTTTGTCGCCCCATTTCTGCACCTCTGGAACCAGGGTCATGATGATGCTAGACGACAGTTAATCAAAGCGATTCCTTAAAAAATAAATATTTTTTTCTACCCATTACGTAGAAGAGGTAGTACAAATTGCTCAAAATAGCTTTCTTCGTGGGCTGGAAAAGTGGGAAGAGCAACGCCGGCAAACTAGTCTTTAGTGGGAGCAATGGATAGGTTTAAAAATTACATTCTCCCTTTGAAGTCAATGTACAAAAATAAATGGATCTGAAGGAATAGTTTTCATAAGTCTTTAAAAACTTATTAAATGTTGAAAAACCCTGAATCTATTTCACAAAATATATTTGTTTGGCTATTCAAAAATACAATAAGGGATTTGACTAAATTTTACTATTTTATTAACTAAATTATACTATTTTATCACGATGATTGCGGAGTAAATACTAAAATAAAATGTAGCACCTTCTATTAAAGAATTTGATTTTTAGATGACCTGTTTGTAACTTAGTCAACATCTTCTATGACCACAATTGTTAATTTAATAGCAAAAATAAACTTTCATTCACTCATATCCATACAGATGCAAATAGTCAATATTCATTTTGAAAAGAATTGTCAAATTCGTGCCAACATAATTTCAGAAGCTGGATGCATACAATTCACATTTCATTTCTTGTGCCTTTTTCAATGAATGAGAACAAATGTTCTTTACTCAAATTCTCCTTTACTGTCACATAAGAACAATATCAATAAAACAAAAGCAAAATAGGGTTCATCCTCGCTCTCTTCACCTCACTATCCAAAATTGAACAACCAAATAGTAAAATAAAAAATAGGAAAGAAATCTACATGAGCATTGAATAGATTAGCAATAGATACATAAATTGCAGTGGAAAAGGAATACCAAGTATTTCAGAAACACATACAGACTAAAATGAATAGAGCACACAAATGCATTTTATATTTTGGAAACAATTATCCAAGGCAGCTTCCAGGTCACAAAACAATTTTTTTTAAACTTCATTAATTTTTACCTGAAGTATCTGCCATGTACAATAATTTTCAAATTGCATGTCACAAATATAGAAAATTATAAATGTACGAAAATATAGTCACAGCTTTCTGAAACAAGTACCAGTTAAATTAAAAAAGATACTAAAACCATTAAATAAAATTAGGGAGTTATCAACAATATTGCATAGATAAATATAATTATTTACTAAGCAAAATTAATACAGTGTAATCTCAATAATCTAAAAAAATCTATTACTGAGATTTCATCAATCATTGGAGATCTGAACAACAAGATTGACTACAGCCTCTTCTCTTTATTATACTATCATATGAAATGTGATAAAAGCCACCCTTTAATTCTCAAGATATGTAACATAATATGAAATAAAGTGCAGTGGTCATCCATTTTGTTTCATGAAAGCATGAAAAAATTGAAATTGAACAGTACTTGCCTCTCTATTGTTCTGGAACAGTTTTCATAATGTAAACATTTTTAATGTACATCAAGGACCATTATAGAACCAATTAATGTATTCAATTAATTTTCAATTACCTTTCAACAAATCATTTTCCACATTTCGGCCATATTCATCCTGGCCATCATTACCAGCTCTGAATTATTTTTTTGTTCAGAAACATTCATTCCAAACAAATGTTTCATAGCATTATAATAAAAGAAGATAGTGAAAGATTCCTACGCTCTATTACATGCTAGACCAATGCACAAATCTTCATAAGCTTTCAGATGAAACTAGGAAAACGTACTTTCCTCACAATAACCATGAAATGAAATGAACCTAACACAAGCACACTTGAGGAATACAAAATGAAACAACTCTTACCAGTATTTCTACAAATACAACAAATGTGATAATGTTCATATTGGTAATGTAATTTTTAATTTCATGTTTTTGATGAATGACAGACTGAACTTATTCAGATTATTGAGGTTGCACTGTACTTACTCATTAATTTTACAGTTGTTTTATTGACATATATGATCTTTATTTTATCTTACAACCCATGCCTGGGAGCCTGTTGTGGTGATTTGGTAAACACAAATCTTTGCCGCCAGTCAAAACACCTATGGCTAGTACATTGAAATGGAAAAGGTGAGAGTCAGGTCATAAGCTGCAGCAACTTTTTTGTTGCAGCTTTTCTCCCATTCGATATCTAAGTATGTAGCTCACTGGCTGGAATCCTTTAGGGCTGAGAAAGGCAGGGCAGGAGGCAGTGAGTGGTGCTGGGCTGGGTCATGAGTGGGTAAACAAAATGTTATTTTCGGTGATTCTGTCCAGAAGACTCTAGAAACAAAACTGTGATATTGAAGATGTGGAGGGACATTATGGTGGATTTAGAGATAGGTAGGTTATATACAAATATTATTAAGTAGAATGATATTAATTAAAAAAAGAATTAAGATTCCTTATAATGACAACTTGGTGATCCCTTTTTTCTAAATATAACTTCTTACGAGAATGTATGAAAGGAGGAAGAATGACTGCCCAAGGACAGAGTAAATGCTTTCTCCTTCTTGCAACTAAAAATGAAAGGGACGTCACTAAAAGAGAAAGTGATTTCCAAACTATTTCCTAGGGTTCCCAAATTGCCACAAGAGAAGGTGCTCCCCAGATGTGTTGCAAGATTAAATAAAGATCCTGTAAGAATATGTGTAAATGTATACACACAAGTGTCCAAGGAGGAAACAATAAAACTTTGAAAGTAAGCACTTTAGACAATTTTAAGCATATTTTTTCTAATAACCGTCATCGAGATTTTGAATGGCTTCACTGCAACAAGCACTCAGAGGTTGACTTGAAAAACTTTGCATTTCATAAACATATAAACACTCCAGACTTGTAAATTGTTTATTATTTACAAAAGAAACTAATATATTTGAAAACAAAGAAAACTCAACACAAACAAAAAAGCAATTTACAGATTTCAATTTGTTTTATTAGCGTTAATTATCCTTTGTAAACAAATATATTCATTTTTGTAAATAATAAACAATTTACATGTTTTTGGAGTGCTTATGTGTTTCTGAAACACAAGTTTTTGCATAGAAAGTATTTTTTCAAATCAAGACCATGAATGCTTATTTTAGCTAAGCCATTTGAAATATCGAAGGAGTTTATTAGACAAAAGTATACTTAAATTGACTTAAGAACTTGGTTTTGAAGTTTTGTTGTTTCCTCCCTGGATACCCATATACATACATATATGCCCTAAAACATTCACGTACTATTTTTCTCACTGTAAAATTACATATAGAACCTCACGCCACATTTGAACTTTTAAAAAATATTCAAGAATTGGAGGAATGTCACATTCTACAATAGAACAGCGTTATCCCTTGTAAGGCTGATAAAACACTATATTACACACCTATTGCTCGTAAACATCTGAATAAGTAATTGCTAATTTTCTCCTATTTATTGCATTTACAATTTGTTAACGGCTATTTCATAAGTTTTATCAAAATTGTTCATTAGCATATTAAAAAACAGTATTGATATATTTAAGAACATACTTCTAATGTAGATAACATTCACATTAATAAAAGAATATTCCACATAATTGTTGTGATTGCCACAGACACTTAAATCAAAAGGCATTTCTGGTCCCTGCCTTTTTATCAGTATTCTGACAAATATAGGTGTATCATCACAATGGTGAACTCGCATAAAAATATGATGTAATGAGTCAACAAAGGATGAATTACCAATTTTCTCCTTTCGTAAACAAGATCATTATTAAAGTACATATTTATTCATCTGCAAGACTTTCAAGATATGTTTCCAGCATTTCAACACCACATGCAAATAAATATTCAGTGTGAATTCTAAATAAGTGTTGATATTAAAATGTAACAATAACAGAAATGATTACAAGTTCTCTCATATCTATGAGAATTTTATTTAATGAAGGTAATGAAAGAGAATTGAATAAAAAATGTTTGCAACAACAAAGAATTGTTATTTAGATTTATAAATAGACTGTGGATATTAGATACAACTCTATTTTTTTATCCTGGGTGCCTTGTACTAAATAAAGTTTCATATATATATTTTAAGATTATTTGAACTAAAACATGTCAATTTTATAACACCTGAGAGAGCCTATTTCAACGTGAATTACTATTATATTTTTAAAATCCTATAAGGAAACATTTGCCAAATTTCTTTTGTGCCCCCTTCTTTTAACTTTTTTCTTCTGTGTTGGCACAACAGACAAGGATGATATTAATTTTAAGTTGCTGTAAGATAGCAAGAAATGATTATACAGGACCAACATCTTGGGACAAAAGTCGCCATGCCACTACTTCCTGACTTCATGGAAAAGTCTGCCTCCGCTTCTAAGATAAAGCAATTGAATTTCCGTGAAAGAAAAGTGATCATGACCGATAGGAGACATTCATTTTCTCTTGAAAACTTGTAGAAAGTATTAGTAATTTATTGTCAGGCAAATTATGATGTGAATAATTTTAACTAGAAGACAAATAATTAAACTTGTTGATAAACAGTGTTATTGCAAAATATACAATACTGATTCTATATAAAATTGATTTATTTTTGTCTTTGAAAAATATATAAAATAAAACGTCAAAATTTATGTTTTTGGGAAGTTTCCTGATTTATTTATGCCAATTCTACCATTTAAAAAGACTAACCGAGATACTAACAGAACCTATTTAAGGCACATAAAATGAATATTTTAAAATCTAAAAATCCATGGTCTATTTATAAAGCTCCAGTAGCATTTAGTGTTGGCAACTTTGGCACTATAATATACGAATGCAAGACTTTTAAACTTAGAAGGGATGCAATTTATGCAGATAATTTGTTATCAGAGGTTCTCTCATCTCTACATTTATTTCTAAAACAAAAGTAAAGTAATGTATTGCAATACAAATTAAATAATGCTTCCTAGAAATAAAAAACAATATTAATATGCTCAAAGAGACTTAAATAGAATTGTCCAGGAAAAAAGATTAAGGCTTTCAGCCTCAGAGATAAAAAACATTTCTGAGAATTTTATCAGAGGTTCTCTCTGATGTCAATTTTATTTAGTAACATTTTCTCTTGTTTTATAGTTATTTGTTCTCCTCCATTTTAACAAGTCAAATTGTAAAAATAGAAATTATACACTGTCAATAAAAGGGAACCACACTTCAAATTAATTTGCCACCTTAACAATACATAATCTAATATGCAAAAACTTATTAGAACACAAGACAGATTCAGATTTAAGATCACATAACAAGGGATGAACAGAGAACAGTGTTTAGGAGGCAAGATAACAAATTAAATCATGTAGACAAATTAATTTTTTTCTAAGAAACTGAAACAATTCCACAAAAGGATGCAATTAATATGAAGTTTGAGTCAATGTTCTATTTACACAATAATTAAGTTTCACTTGGCACAACAGTAATAACTAAAAACTAAAATTTAATATGAATACGATTCTGTTCAAATAAATGTAATAACACATTTATTTAATAAAAATAGGAATACATGTCCCTTAAAAACAAAAATAAAATAAAGACTTAATATTCATGTGTACATATCCATTTGAAAACCAATTTACACTCATCTCTCATTATTTATTGTATATTAAAATTCAAAATATATTCTACAACTTTACATAAATAATTGAAGATTTTATCTTTTTGGAAATTATTACAAGATTTGCATAACTAATTGCGACTGACAAGAAAATGTATAACAGGAATGCAACCGTGTTTAACAAATTTTACCATTTTTTAATCAAAGTACATAAAATAAAGTACTACAAGCATAGACAAGCCCAGAAACCTAATTGTCTTCTCTGATGTTTCAACAGAATACTATGAAGATGTATTTGGTTTGTTGGTAAACTTTGTATAGTAAAAAGGAATTTTCTTTTCACATATGTAATTAATTACACTACATGGAAGCCTCCTACATATACATTCTTGCCAGTTTTATTTCATACATAAAAGTACCATGCTGAAATGGAAGATTACAGAATAATTTTTGGAAAATTGCATCCAGAATAATGTAACTATGATTACATTTTAAAATATTTTAAAAAGAGAAAGAAGAATATTTATATACATTAATTATCTCATTTGCAGAGTCCATAATTTCAATACGATACATTAGTCAATTCAGAAACATTTTAATTGTAATTAGAACACAATTGTCAAATATACAGACTTCGATTATAAAGTATACAAATTAATTTAAGAATATACAAAACAAACTAAAAACTAAGTGGCCGTTATCTTATCGAATTGTCACAGTAATAACAGTAGTTTTAACACCTAACTCACCAAAGAAATAGAATTGAAATCAAACTTACTGCATCTAGCAATAGTCAAAATATTTCCTTATCGCAGGAAGATCATGTAGGCACATATCCAATGATTGGAAACCTTAAATGGATTAATTTACATGCTGTATCGTAAGGTAGAGCAATATAAATAAAACCTGAGGATTGTATGTAATTAAGATTACTATCAGAGCTAAATAGTGCTGTAAGATTAAAAAAATAATGGATACTCAGAATGTTTTGTATGTTACAACATTACTACAAAATCAGTTTTTATAAGATTTTAGATAACCTATCAGATGAGTATCATCCAAAGAAAGGATTCCAGTTTGGAATTGTTTGTACTACAATAAAAATTCACGTATTATCCTTACACTCGTTGTGCCATAAGTGGATTAAATGATCCACTGTGACAAAGTCCCATTTGGATATGTTGCATATGAATCTCCACAGAATTTTGGAAATTGTACTGGTTTTTAGGGCTCAACTGTGAACGTATCTCTTCCATTGAGCTCTGAAGAACTTTGACCTCATAGGCACTGCGATCTGCTTCAGAAAGACTCTGTAACATAATAATTATAATATCATATTGACATGTGAGTTTGTTACTGTGAAGAACAATGGGGAGAAAAGCAAATATCTTTTTAATGGGTGACTCAGAAAACTAAAAATGTCTTCCTCTTGATTTGATTTATTTTTGTCAAAGAATAATGAAACTGTGATGGGGAGAAGTATAATCTATGCATGATTTCTTGATCTCCTGAATCTCTTCCTCTGCCCATTTACCACACAAACATTGAATGACAAATAAAAGTAACAAAAATAGCAAAGTTAAAAACATTTGAATTCTAAACATTTTCATTCCCAGTATAGAAAACTTTTTGTATCAATAAACTACACATTTAATTTTTTTTAAACACACACTCTCATTTTATTTATATATTTAAAAAACTAGCTACAACTGATCGCAAAAAATATACATAAAAATATGAAAATTAAAAAAAAAAAAATAGAGTAAATAAAAAATTTGTGAACAAAAATGGATAAAAGTTCCTAAGAAAAAAAATAAGCTCATTTATAAGGTAATAAGATGTTTCCCTCATTTTGACCAAAATTTAGTAAGGTTTTCTTCGTGTTAAATAATGTTTAGGGTTAGTTGTTTTGCAAAAACGGTTGAAAGCGTATTGGCAATAAAAAAGTAACTGTAACAATTTAATAACAAAAATGTTGCTGTTTCTAGAATGGACGTTAGGAGTTCTAAATATATGGTTGGACAAAAGGGGACAATCGCCAATAATCAACTAGGTGCAATGACTGACCGACCGACAGACGTAGGTGCAGTGCCCGATCGACCGACCGAGGTGCAGTGACTGACCGATCGACCGACCGAGGTGCAGTGACCGATCGACCGACCGAGGTGCAGGGACCGACCGACCGAGGTGAAGTGACTGACCGACCGACCGACCGACCGAGGTGCAGTGACTGACCGACCGACCGACCGACCGAGGTGCAGTGACCGACCGACCGACCGAGGTGCAGTGACCGACCGACCGAGGTGCAGTGACCGACCGACCGAGGTGCAGTGACCGACCAACTGACCGACGGAGGTACAGAGTGACTGGCGGTTGCAATTTTTTTTCTGACAGAGAGTCTATTTTTTTAATATTAAAATATGCTATTGATTCTTTAAAAAATGCGTAAGTTATTAAATAAACAGAATACGCGCATTATGCTCTTGAGGTTGAAAGTTTCGTGCCCTTCTCCAGAAAGGGGTGGGAAAACTTCGAACGCAGGAACCTACTTTCCTAGGGATATCCGTCGATGACTTCCAAGGGATCCTGACACCAGCTTACTCGTACATGCTTAGTTTTCTTGTGTTACAGTATAGTGATACACTGTGTTATAAAATGTGGAAGATTGTGAATATTTAACAGGCTTTCGTGCTACACTACATTCGGACTTGAGTAGCACATAAATCGGGCGTGTAAGAGAAAAATAACAGAAGCGATCTGGAAGAAAATAGTTAGTTTAGTGGTGAAGCAATATGCGATCTGTGTCGACTCAAAATATCAAAATTACCTAAACAGATCTTAGTGATTCAACTGTAACAAAGAATAGAGAAGACAATTGAAGAGGAGTACATAGCCCCGCGATTTGCGGTGGAATCTACTATCAGTAATGTAAACATTTTTATTCCTCTGGGTCAATCACCATTATCATTACGAAAACAAAAGTGAGAAAAGTCGTACGGATGAAGTAAAAAAACAATAGCTGCTTTAAGGGAATTTAAAATAGCAGCACAGAAAATTTAAAAAGGGCGTGAAAGCATCCAAATTACAAAATCGTGTTCTCGAGTTTTGATGGAATGAGGCTCATACAATGTGTCTTGGTGTGGTAGGTCCATATAAAAACGGAAAGAACTTTTACAATGTCTCGTACAGAGGATTCGCAAGTCCCAGCCGAAAGACACTTTTTTTGCCACGAGCGACGGAAAAGGTCCCTGTGACAGAAAATGGAAGGGGCATCAAGAAACTCGCAGCTTACACAAGGCTTGAAGGATCTTTTATCACTTCTCCACGAAACTTTTAGAATGGGCGAAGAGTAAGGTGGAAGAAATTTATTTTAGTTTTACCAGCTATGAGGAACATGACGCAGAATGTTTAAATACCGAAAGATTCGTAGGCGTGAAAATTGCGCCGTGGCCAGGGAGTATCCAGGCAGTAATTCGAGTTTCTGAAAACAAAATTGCTGAGAGAACGTGCTTAACTTCTTCTGGAGTTGCTGGGAAAGTGGTTTTGCGACATCCACCATCGTGCCATGGGGAAAGAACGCAACGCCGAGTGCTGCGGCGCGTTCGTATACGGAGCGCCAATAAGATATTTTTTATTCACAACTTTAAAACCATTCAACCATGCTTATATTTATTCACAATTTTAAAACTATTCAACCATGCTTATATTTTTTGAGTGGCGAGAAAGTAGTTTCGGCAATTTGTCTTCCAAATTGTTAAAGACTTGCGGTAAAAAATATATTTAGTGGAAAATTATCCTTTACATTTCTTCTTAAAATACGAGTCACATTCATATTTTGGCTTTTTTTTTTCTTCAGGAAAAAAATCATAAAGGAAAGTCTACACTTTGCTAACCTAACATTTCAAGTGCCCATTGTTGCCAAATAATGGCTGAGAAAAATATTGTTCTTGGTTGATGGAAGTAACATGGCAAAATATTTTTAAAACATACACGTTAAAACAATCGAAAGCAATATCGTTTTTCTGCATATGCGCAGAGGATTGAGATTACAGTCAATTGCTGCCCGCTAAGGCGTGCACAAACTCCCTAATGTGCGTTATCGTTCGGGTTGTCTTGCAAATTATTAGTAGCCGAATCGCGTTAACACTGAGTCTTCACTGAACACACCAACACGAGTCTGTTCGCACGAGTCACAGTTGACCTGACGTTATTACGTAGCAAAGCTTGGTGATAGGCGGTACAGTGTTTCAATTCATCAAATTTCTCGGAACAATGTTACCTTATTTCTAAGAAGCGAATTTGATGACTTAAAACAACGCCAAAAATGATCAATAAGAAGCTATAAAAATGTTTTTAAAATGCCCTGAAAGCAAAGAAAAATAACGTATTCAATTGTATCAAAACCAGTTCAGATGAACAACTCAAACTGTTGGATATGTTACCGAGTAATCGCGACTTCTTCCTTTCGTTCAAGTGAAGTCAGCTTGCAAACGTTGGTCTCGACTGCAGGAGCGTGCGGTGATTACAATATATACTCCAGTTGCTAGCGACCAACCAGCTTCCCCCTTCCCTATCGTAGACAAAGTAGTCGCGCAACAAGAGATTCTTTACAGTGAAACAAAATGTTTAGAATATAAACAATTCCAACATGTAATTTATCACTCCCACACAAGACATTTACACGAAAGAAAATCAATGAAGGAAAATGAAATCTACTTCCTACAAACGTTGCAGTAATCAGTGGAAACCGTAAAATCAGTAAAATCCAGTCTTTCGGACTAACAAAATACAGCATATTTTTTTAGGAAAATGAAAGTGTGGCATATGTCCTCAAGCAGTGATGATTCAATAGGCTAAACGGATCTTTTTTCACAAGTAGTTTTGACCGTAGGTTTTTATTCTTTTCACATCACGCACAGTCCTGCCAAGCACACTTTCTTAAGGGTACGGTATGCTATTCGAAAATTCTGGGAATTTCGGAGAATAGTATTCTGATCATGTGTGTCAGAACATTCCTCATAAGATTTAATAAAATTTCTAGAAAACATTCTCGGCAACAACATCGGCTCTCTGGCGGGAAGTATTGACATCACGAGGCAGGAGAGGCCTAGCCTTGAAGCAGGGGGAGGGGGGGGGGATAATGTCATCTATCCATAGAAAGCTGGATTCAGTACATTATTTGCTAAGGCTTCCTCCGATCGCCACCTACCGCAGGCCCAGTGAATAGGATGCGCGCGCAGGTCCCATCCTCAGCGAAGATTTCACAGCTGCGGTTGAGCCGTGGGTCGGCGCAAAAATCTCGCTACAATATATAGCAGGTGCAATATTTTTGATCAAGTGACAGTTCATCGTGATTTTAATACTCAATATTCATTAAATTCTCATTCTTGCTTATCCCAACAGTGCTGGGTTGGAATGCACGTCACTGCTGGACTGCTCTTTCCCGGGAAATCTGTCTTTAGTTGTCTGAAAATCGGCCGACCCAACAACGTCGCTGATAGGCGTCACAGGAACCTTAGATTACATACTTACGACAGACATTACAATTTCTGAGCGAACCGGATCTTTTTGTCTACGTGATTTTGTGTCGGGTAGCTGTCAAAGCGGTTAGTTACGTTGCTGTCGTACAGTTAAGTTACTTCCGTTCTTCAGATTCTCTGTGACTTTGAGGTTGGCCAAGCGAAAAAAGTTGGGTGATGGTGTGCGTAAGTGTTCAGTGCGGAACTGGCATGGTTTGCCGTTTGCTTTTTGCAATATTAGAAAATACGGTGTACGAGGAAAATGGAACCAGCGCCAAATTTTATACTGTCCTTAGATACATAAGAAGTGAACATTTTAAGAAAAAAGTTTGGAGGAGTATTTGATTAAAAATAACCACCTGCGATTTTGCACGTTTCATTATACGAAATACCTGCAATATGGTGGCAGTAAAACGGAACATAAATTTATTGACAGTTCTTCAATTTCTGTAATCTACAGGACAAAAACCAAAAAACCTTCGATTCTTTAAATTTTTGGTAAAGGATAATTGTATTTTGATCAATAAACACGAAAATGCGCAACATTCAGGCATTTAAACACACAATAGGATTTTTTAAAAATGAAATAGGCTTTTGTAGGTATTATTAAAAATTTGCAAATAATACGCCTAATACCTCAAAATTAGTAACCAAAAATATTGCATTTTCCACTGAAGGAAAAAATAGGCAAATATCCGCAGCTTACTCATGTCAAAATTCAACGAAATTAAAAGAGCTACAAACAGAAAGCAATACAAAGTTATAAGCAGCCCCAAGAATTAAACGATGCA